GCACAAGCAAAGACCAAATGATAATTCCCCCTTCTTCTCGCCAACCAAACTCCTCCAGCTTTTCTCCTCCCCTCTTATTCAAACAATAAATAACAATAATAATAATGATGAATGGCGGAGCCAGAAACAATGTCTGAATCCCTCTTCTACTGCCAACACAACTTGAGGTCCACCATAGCCATGGCGGTCTTCCTCTTCGTTTTTTTCTTTTTTAAAGAAGTGTCAGAGTATTGGAATGTGCCCGTAGTGCAATTTTCAGTGAAATCACGGTGAAATGATAATGCAAATCGTTGTGAAATCACAGCAAAGTCACAGTGCACTTGTCCTTCGGGGCATCCGTTAAAATTGGAACGGTACAGAGAAGTGCACAAGTGAGAGGAAAAATAAATAAATAAACAATCGCAATGCAGTCAGAGTGAAGTCGCATTGCGCTGAAAGTCAACTGTTACATCACAGCAATAGCACAGTACAAAACATGGTAGAGTCGCAGCGCAGCTACAATAAAATGGCAGAATAAGAATCGGGGAACTGTCACAACATAATATTGCATGGGAGTGCATTCACGGTGTAGCAACGATGAGAGGGCAATCAGGTGAGCGTGCGGTCACGATCTCAAGAAATGTAGCAGTGACTGATGATGATAGTGGAATGAGAGAAAATGCAGTGATGATGATGATGATGATGATGATGATGATGATGATGATGATGGTAATGAAATTGTTCAATGTTAGCTTATGTCCATAAAATTGGAGCAGTACAGAGGATGATGATGATGATGATGATGGTAATGAAATCAGGGCAATTTTAGCATGGCCCTGCGCAAGGATGACATGCATAATGGTTGAATCATCTTACACCATTGTCCTTAGCTATCTGGTGGTTAGGTGATGGGTCCATTATTTCACTAGGGCGAAAGGGTGTCTTATGTACTGACGGTTTTGACGAAGATTCTGCGAAACTTTTAGCTCATTATTTAGAAGTTGTTTGGAATGTTTACACACATGTGGGACCCATTCAAAGAATTGAAATGGCCCAAATTAGAAAAAAAAGGAACAAAAATGAAACCAGGGCAGGGTCAGAGGGCATGCATTTTCTTCTCAGACTCGAAGGACGGAATATGTGTGTCATCGCTGATGTTCAGTGTAGCCGTGATAGTCCGACTGTTTCCCCCACCGAACACAGTGCACCCTAATCATGGATGAATGTATACAAGCTATCGCTTCGGTCTGATACGGTGGTGACAGTAACGAGCTGTGTTCTGTGGATGGCATTTTGGAGTACAAGTTCTATCCGTTCGGAGCGATACGGTCATGACAGTAGTGAGCTGCATTCGATNAAAGAATTGAAATGGCCCAAATTAGAAAAAAAAGGAACAAAAATGAAACCAGGGCAGGGTCAGAGGGCATGCATTTTCTTCTCAGACTCGAAGGACGGAATATGTGTGTCATCGCTGATGTTCAGTGTAGCCGTGATAGTCCGACTGTTTCCCCCACCGAACACAGTGCACCCTAATCATGGATGAATGTATACAAGCTATCGCTTCGGTCTGATACGGTGGTGACAGTAACGAGCTGTGTTCTGTGGATGGCATTTTGGAGTACAAGTTCTATCCGTTCGGAGCGATACGGTCATGACAGTAGTGAGCTGCATTCGATGGACAATGGTAGTCTATATCCTTCTTCTGACTCTGAAGCACACCGGGGATCCATCGTTGTTTTGCATTGAATGCTGTGTGCCGTTGCGGCAAGTTTGGTGTTGAGTCTTTTGTTATCGGGAAAAAAACTCTTCATCTGCAGCAAATCCCATGCTGTTGCAGCAGTTTTGCTGTTAATATCTTTTGGCATCGGAAAGAGTTGTACATTGTTGCTGGTCATCCTCATCCCCCAGTCAGGGATGGGCTGAGGCTCTCACTCAAACCTTTGACAAAGAGAAGAGTGGGGAAAGGAGAGGCAAAGGGAGTGAAGGAGGTGCAGGTGGAGGTTGCCGACTTCGAGTGGTTGACATCCTTGAACCATTATTTTATCATCATCATCATCATCATCATCATCATGACTATCATTTCAATTGTAAAATAGGATGAAGCGAGGATTACGTGGGAATTCCAACAGACGACAACATCAGAGGAGAGTTGCAAGAGAGTCAAAATTGAAAATACCAACGGACCAAGCTCAGTTGTTGGTACACCTATGAACTGTTGAAAAATACAGACTCAAGTTCGAGTCAAGATGCAATCAGATGAACAGATTAAAATAACTSTGCATTACTTAYGTGGGGCCGGTCGGTTCAATGATGATATCTCTAGGCCGTYGCCTTTTYWACTCATYGTTGATCATTTGAATTGTGGATTATCTTGGAATCTTTCAGGAGGAGGCGGCGCGAGAGGATCAAGGTTTGAATGATAAAGAAGAGAGGCGGCCCAAGAACAAGGTCAGTGGGCATTTCTGCCATTTCTCGCGTTTAATCACCAAATAGTCTCATCACAGAGAACTCCAAAAAAATGCTCACGACTCTGTCGTGAGTACATTAGTGGGCCAGAGCTATTGCTATGGAGTGACTGGGAGGGATGGATCATTCCTTGACTCTTTTTTTTTTTTTTTTTTTTTTTTTTTCCTGCAGAATCTTGGAGTACTTGAGACACTTCCTATTTTTAGAATTTCCATCTCCGAACTTCAGTAGTTGCTTCCCCCTGAGCAATGTTGTTTCGCACAAGACACCGGAGAACTCCAATACCGCGTGGACCCTAAATTGCTAAACCGAAGTTTTGCACCCAAGCAGGGAATCGAACCAGAAGCTGCCGGACGGGTACATTGAAAGCGCAGCCTCCTTGTATGCTGGCAGAAGTTTGGGATGAGGGGGGGGGTGGGGGGTTGTACTGGGGCTTTTAGTTTATATATTCAGGTGTGCTTCCTGTGCAATAAACTTCAGTTCAAATCCACACATCCGCGGGCTTCAAATCCACACAGCCGCGGGCAAGGGTCGTCACTTTTGGTCAAACGCCGGAAACAGGGGTCAAGGTCACGTCTCAAGTCTGAGAAATGTCTAAGAAAGGGCCCCCAGCACACGAGCTTGAATATCAATGCGCCTTGCGTTTATGGTGTTGGCTCGGTCTTGGCCTGCCTCAGGTTGCCGCTTCCAACGGCTGAGATTTCTTGATCTGTGTGGCCAGAATTCTGTCGCATCCTACGTGTGGCTGATCCCGGCGAGTCTGAAAGCTTCTGGAAACTGTGCTGAGACTTTGAATGGCGCGCGATCAGCGACCGAGTTTGACTTCTGGGAAACGCTTGGACTCTTGGTCTACTGTTCCCGGGTTGAGTCTGGCTGTTGACTCTCGGCAGGCCTGGGTTCACTCTCCCATACTCTGGGGGTATTTCTTACCCCTCCCCCTGGCCCTTGAGAGCCCCAGACCATTTGAGCTGAGAGACGTCTGAGAAAGGTCTTGGCCCTAGCCAGTGACTTTGACTCTCCAGGAATTGGACCCAGACTTGGAGACACGACCCTGGGCTCAATTCTAAGGCAGGCATGTTTCCTTGCAGCGCGGATCTGTTCAAGTCTGGTCTTCCTTCTCCCAGATCAAAACAGCCACGGCCTAAAACATCACCACGGACAGGTATTTTTTTGGTTACCACCGTGCCTCTGATTTCTCAGTGGGTCCTCTGGATGGGATGGCGATGGCCAACCCGGCGGCTGCTAGTTTTTCACTTCCATCTGCAGCAACGTTCACAGGCCCAGAGGACGGTTGCGCAAATGGGTCGGGACTCGGAAGTAGTGTTTACTTCCAGTTGGTTGGAAGCTTGATATATGTTGGACGTTAAACAGGGTGGTGTTTTGCGCCTGGCTGAGTATAGCAGTTAACGCATAGTTCTATACTGAAGCCTGTTGAGTGCGTAGCATGTGCCACAGTATAGACCTTGTTGACTACATCACTTAGCATGTAGTATTGGACTCGGGGCTGAGCTTGTAGGATGTGTGGTACACCAGGTACAGTGCGCACCTGGCGAACTACAGCTTCCAGGTGCGTACATAGCTTGTCGCTCTGTTCTTAGCAAAGGTGTGCACTGTGCTGAGCAGCGCGTGATCTGTGAGCTACCGTCTTCACGGGGATAGAATGCCCGGTCATTATCATTCCATCTAGACTGGAAGTCGTACCAAATGCAGCTATAATGACCACGCGTTCTATTTGGGTGAAGATGGTAGTGCACGCTCTTTTAAGCATGGCTGCTTCTAGGCAAGCCTACCCCACTACTACTGATTGTCTTTTGCACTCCCACCTCCCTTACCACGGAGCGGCCATTTAGGGGCCTTAGCTGGCGATTGGGCTGTTTTCCTTTTGACGATAAAGCTTATTCCCTACTGTCTCACGAGTTTACTGAAGTTCGTACCCAGTATTCAGAGTTTGCCTCGATTTGGTACCACTTTTGCAGCCCGCATCGAAACAGTGCGCTTTACTCCTGGATAGTGGAGTTAATTGCTGCGCCTCAACGCATTTCGGGGAGAACCAAACTAGCTCTGAGTTCGAGTGGCATTTCAACACACATTTGAGAAGAGCGTGCATTTTTCGAGAGTGGGTGGTTTGCACGGAGCGAAAGCCGGGGAGAGGCACGTAACTGTGTCTTGGGGGGGCGGCGGTTCCATTGTGTCGGAATGTGCAGGAACGAGGCGTTGGCACAATTTATTTGAAGAAGAATACAGGGGTGGACGAGAGGGATCACAGGGACCGCCTGGCACTTAAAGCCGGAACCAGGAGTGAGCTCGATGTTTACGCGACTCTTGAGAAGAAGGCAGAGTTGTACGAAAAACTAGGTGAGATATTGTGAGAGCCGAAACTGTTGCTGCAGAAAATATGTGCAGATTAAGAAAAATTGAAACTGTAAGTCTGTGCAGCCTCAAGATGGTTGCGGTCGTTTTCATTTTTCAATGACATTCTTTTTGTTCTCTTTAAAGACTTGTTTTTTTTTTTTTTTCAGATTGCTCCTGCTGCTTTTATGGCTTGCCCCTCCTCTCTGTAGGCCAAAGGGATGGGCAAACAAATGATTGAAAGGACAAATGAAGTTCGCTCATGGCAGTTCCCTTTGTGTTGATTCAGGTCTGTCTTTTCCTGGGTCTAGATGAGGTTTCTCGTTTACTATTTTTAGGCTAAATCCAGCGATCTCTTTTTACAACAAGAAAGAAGGCGATGCGGAGAAAGGTGCACCATAGCCTTGCACCTGTCTGGAAACTGAATGATGAACGCATGTAACTGTCGATAAGCAGCCCTGCTGTCTTGTTTTTTCTCCTTTTTCGTTCTCTTTAAACCAGCTGCATGGGTCCTGGGGACCATCTCACGCAAGTGTGTACATGCCATGCATCGTACTCCCACACACAATGAACAGTAGTCTGACAAGACAAAGATAGAGAAGATGAGGACCGAGTTTCACAGTTTATATTATCAGAAATATGAATACAAAGTGTTTCAAAGTTCCCCTGAGTCCAGCGCTCATCAGCGCAACACCAATATCTTGCCAACTCATCAATATGCCTTCCAGTGAATCAGTGCTACCCCTGCAGATAGTCTCCAAGTCAT